CTACGTTTCTATAGTCTATTGAATATATAACCATATTTTAACAATTAAAGTGGAAATTGATTAATCAATTTTCTTCTTCTTCTCTGGCTTTAATAACCAGTTTTTCATCGTCAACATAATACTGATCTCTGTATCTTCCAACCCTGGACAATATTTCTCCAACTGTGCACCGATAAACTTTCTAAATTCTTTTGAACCACATCAAACCGACCAATTCTTTCTAAGCCTCGCTCAGGGTCTATTTCCTCCTGATTTCCAATTCATAACCGTCATAACCATCATTTCTATGCATTACGTGTCCGAGCAATTGGATCTGAGCCAAACATAGGTCCTTCTATAATTCCTTTCTGAATTTTCTTCTCGACCTTCCAGAATATGTGTCCAATATGTGCAGACATTTTTAATTTTTGCAGTGAGAAAATCATTTTTTTATTTTCCTAACGCCTTTCCTAAAAATTAGAAAAAACCGGACAAAATGTAAGAAAAACGGAAAAATATACGGTTTCATTATTTTCGATTTTCTACTTTTGTTATAATTTAGTGAAACATAATCGTAATAATCTGAAATTTTCACCGAATACTTATCCAATAGCCTTTCATGGATATGGTTTTATTTTTTGGTTTATTCGGCTCTTGTTTTTCTACGCGTCTCTCTTAACTGCATCTTCTCGCCTTATTTTCATTTTTTTCAAGGGGTTTTTTATCTGTCGGATTCCTTTCCAGCTCTGTGCAAAGTAATGGGTTTTTGCATTTCAAGGCATTTCTCACTCATTGTAATCTCTTACTACTAATAGCGTCTAAGATTTTCGGTTTCTGATACAGTGATCCTATAATAAATCGTTCGCTCTTATTCTTCACACATTGATTTCTGTATATTTTACAGCTCCAAAAAATTTTCTTCTTTCGGTAAATGATCTATAACTTGCCGGTATAATTTTCTTTTTCCATTCACTTATTTAAAATTTAAATAATCAATTTTAATTAAGAATACCCATACGCGTTAGACTCAATAAAAATTCGATATACCTATGTATTTAATCTATTCAATTTCTTGAAACACTGATCAATATTTCTCGCTTTGGATTTCACATAATTTTTCATTTTTACTGATTTTCGATTTATCATTATATTAGAAAACAATTAACGTAAAATATTTGATCCGGACAGAAAAGCAGCACCACATATTTTATTATATTTGACAGGAGGAAAAAAACCAAACTCTCAAACTTTATAATATATTTTACAGAAGATACATATATACTTGTATATATGTAACAATAAATTAAACACAACAAAAACGGTGATAAAAATGTTTAAGTGGTTTTAAGAACCTATCATCCTCTTGACCTTCGAAGAGATCTGCACGACTAATTGAATGTTTGAATTTCAGGTGACCGAAAAAAAACGTACACGTGTATTTTTATAAATAAACCGTAATAACAAGTCTATAGTGTCGTTAAAACAAAATATTTTAACGACCGGTTCATTTTACGATTTTACGTTGCGATATAGAGCAGTGCCTTTTGTCACCCCCCCCCCCCCCCCGTTTTATGATGTCCGTTTTTATTTTTTTATTTTTTTTGAAACCTTTTAATATTTCACAACAGCAGCGCACACAATAGAATGTTTGGATGTACGGTTGGTGATCATATCCAACAAAAATATTTCGACCCGACCACAGGCAGTCTCGCGTACATTGAAAAGCATTATTATTATTATTATTATTATTATTATTATTATTATTATTATTCCCTATATCTCCTGTATGGAGAAATTAAAAAACGAACTGAAAAACGTGAAAAATAACTCCCGCGGATCGGTTAACGGATTTTTCACGCTAACACCACGTCGCGTCAGATTCAATGTAGATGAAATTGTTGAATTGTATACATATCTGTCGGTTTTTGTTTTCAAATTATACCTTTTCGATCGATTAAACTCCCGGAAAAAAATTATTAAGTGTCATTCAACAACTTCGATGCGACAACTAGAAAACATGACTTTTTACAAAGATATTCACTTTTTGATGGCATAATTCAAAGAAAAATAATTCTCTAAAATAATGTGAGTGCAACAGACAGATGAATATGTATCTGATGTATTTAAGATATATTATTGTAGTTTACAGCGGGAATTTGAGCGATCTTACAATTTTAGAATGTTTTGGTGCCACAAAAAGATAAATCCAATATGCTTCTCGGCGAATTACGGTGCAACATTCGGATATAAATAAATCCGTAGTTTTATTGCTCCTCAACAATTTCAACTGGCGGAGTTCCTCAAAATTATTCAATTTTAATATATTTATAATATGAACTATGCAATCGCGATATTTTCCAAATTTTAAGTTGACTTTGACTGGTTGATTGGATGAAAATATCTACGTAAAAATTTGATTAAAAACATGTTTCATACGTTTAAAAAATAATAATTTATAGAATTGTTTCACGAATTGAAATATATAGTTGAAAATAATGTAACATAATGTCGAAAATGTCATCACGATTTATTACTTTTCCCCTTCGAAACATTGTAAGTATAACGTCTTATCCGTCTTATACTTACTTTTAATACACTTTTTTTAGATTTTAAACGTAATAGTTTTAGAGTGATGTGTGCTTTTTTTTACCATGTTTTATATTAACTTACTCGCGAAAAAGAAATTTAAAACTTGTGATCGATTTTCGTCTCATTTCTTGAGGTCCGATCAATTTATAATTGTGCAAACAATTTTCGACGACAATACAGTAATCATTAATTAGATATTTTTTTTTTTTTTTGTCCCCATTTTCAAAGGGAGTCCAAAAAAATGTTTTTTCATTCTACAAAGATATTAGGAAAAAATGTTAAAATAACGAAAAATTCCTCAAACAAATTTTGCTCGTATGTCCTCCGTAATGAAAAATCCGTCGTATGATTTTTCGATTTTATTACTTTTATACCTTTTAATCTCATACATGGCTTTTGAGAAAATATGCCCAATTTCGATAAACGCTACATACAACTTTGTGTCATCTACTGTTTATAATCCGTGGTCCGATTTTCCATTTTTTTTGAACGGATGGAAAAATTACGACTAAAAATCATTTAAATTATGGCATAAAAATAAATAACCGTAATAAATAGATAGAAATATATATTTGATAAATTTTTTTTGATGATCAGATAATTCGATTTACTTAAGTAATAATTAAAGTGAATACAATAATATCAAAACTAATAAAATTAATTTTTATAAAATGAAATAAAAAGTAATTTACAATAGCTAAAAATGATTTATCGTCGTTCACAGATATAAATTAACTAATTGTATAAAAGGTATTTTACCTTCCTAATTTTTTTTATAAATTGTCTGTGTGTATCTGTAAACAATTTTTTTACCGAAAATCTCCATTCATCAACTTCAGGGATGATTTCTAGTCGAGTTTAGTTGGTGTATTAGGGAGTTTATTTTGTTATTTTTCTCGTAGTTTTCTTAATAATGTAGGAAAAAAACCGGGAACATGTACACATTTATGGTTTCTTCTATTTTTTCATTTTGTTAGAGATTTGCAATGTTCACTTATATCAACCCCTCCTAGAAGTGGTGAAACTTCGAAACATTTTAAAAAATTTTAAGGTGTGTATAACCATTGAAATTTTCATCAAACCTTGAAATTTTCGAGTTTTCAAGTTTTTCGGTTTTATTAAGGTAAAATTTGTATAGCTTCTTAGAAATGCTCGAAAATTTGATACACGATTCATCATAAATTGTTCTCATGGCATTACAAAAAAAATCTGACAATTACAAAAATCTATATAATAATTTAGATTTTTCGTATAAGTGTTTAAATTTCAAACTGTTCGTAAATTCGTAAAAAATCACGACATTCCGCGTAATATTTTCCGATTGATGACGATAAAATTCTTTTGGCTCTATAAAAATGCAGATCAATTTTAATTTATTTTATAGTTGCACATCAATATAATTTTCAATTTACGTTTTCAAAACACGATTCACCGAACTTAGCTCAGAACCGTTTTTCGTTCGCAATGACTTATCGTAATTCACTGATATAAATTAAATTACCCGATACATTCTGCCTTCTTAATTTCCCAACTGCTACGGCGACATACCTATAGTGCCCCAAGTATGTCTATTATATGTAACTTAAAATGGACAAGTTTAAAGATTTTTAGCAGACGTAGCTACGAATAATTCGAATAAGTCGGATGGGTATTTTTTTATCTTGATTATTGCATTTTTCTAGCTATTGCAGAGTCAAAATTTTGCGAAAGAAATATTTGCATGTAACTAACGCGTGGAAAATTCGGTCGCGTAGATCAACAGTTTACAGTAATATTCCTAAATAACAGTCTAAAAACGTTTAGGTAAAACTAAAAACTAACAGAATTTCCTTGGTATTCTGGTGCAAGACCAATTATATATTACTATTATTTTCGGGAAATAATTATAATTCTAACCGAATGGTCTCCGTTCTTTCGACGGTTGACGAATGTTGTTTTACTCGCGGGCAAAAACGGCGGGCTTACGGAAAATCATGACTTTAAAAAATAAAATAAAAATAAAAAAACAAAACTCACCGAAAAAATCATCGTTAGCTGAATTTTGTGCTGCTGGACGACGGCGGTCATCGCGCCGAGCTTCTGTACAGAGAAACTGTAATAGCGCGGGACGCACGACAAATTATTTATTGAATAATCCGAAATGCGTCCGAAAGTAAAGTTGTAAATGTTTTTTTTTTTTTTTTCTTTCGATTTTCGGACACTCGTTGTCGCGCGTCGACCACCGAACGTACGCGTGGACGGTTATATGCGCGCGCGGTTTCGGACTGCCGCGAGGGGAAAACGGCGAAAAGGAATTGCCGTCCAACAGAACCTCGAAACCGCGAAAAATGTATACGTATTTATTATTGTCGTGTGCCGAAAATTAAAATTCGGAAAAACCGGCGGCGGCGACTAATTCAAACGCGAATAACGACGACAGTGACACGTCCGTGATGGAGACGACCGACCGAGAGAGTCCGGGATCTGGCAGCGGTCATGGTTGGGCAGCCGGGCCGCCGAGTGCACGAATGGACACCTCGTGGACCGCGGAGACTGCTGCGGATATCGTCGTCGGCGGCGGCGGAGGCGGCGGCGGCGACGGTGGCGGTGGCTACGGCACCTCCGCGTCCCGTGCCATTATTGTATTATTATTATTATTATACATCGCTGCGCACACGCTGTATATCAGTATCCGTGTATAATAATATGTACACCGATATAGTATCAATAAAATATAAATTAGCCCACTTTTCGTGTTATATTCTTTCCGTCTGTGTACACACACACACGCACACACACACACACGCGCGCACGCACGCACAACCACGTGAACGGCGGGCTCACATACACGCACAAGATACACGTACTCGATGTGTACAACCGTTTTGCAGTATATAGTGTAGCAGATATTGTTGTCTCTCTCTCTCACTCTCTCTCTCTCTCTCTCCCTATATATATGCATAATAATACAACAGATAATCAATTTATAACCAGATAAGTGTTGGGTTAATACACGGCTATAGCCTCGGTCAGTAATTTAACATGACAATATTATGATGTGGTTACTACATTTAAAAGTTTAACATTAAACTTAATCCAAACATTTTACTTTTAAAAAAAAAAATTCTTACGTTTTTGAATTATTAAAAACACGTTTTTCTCAGTTTGAAAAAAAAACGACTTTTCCGTTTTTTCCCTGTACCCTTCACATGTACGGTACTTATATTTCTATATTATCTTTTATCTTATCAATAGATGAATGAGAATAATATTATGTTATCCGATTATCGTTATCTAGGACCAATAATAGAACCGTCTAGAACCTAGGTAAATAAGTTATAATCTTGATTCAATACGCAGAATATTTAATTCGCAATAATATTCCAAAAATATATAGAAGTTGCAATTTGAAAATAAAAAGTGGCCCCCAGTCGTTTCACCTCCCAAAAATAATGGAAACGTAAAATTTTAGATATACGTGTTATTTAAATTTTATAATGAAAAAATACCGAAAAAAGTTAATTACTTTTCGAGATAATGAATAAATTCAAAGACTTCAAAGTGCATGTACATTATATTTGTAATTTTAAGTTTCGACAAGAGCTGATAGATGTACCATTTTAAAAATCATTGCTAACGAAAGTTTTGTTACGAAACAAGATTCTGAGTGAAGATCAGCTATACATATTTTAAAATTGTGTAATATTTACAATTACTATCTTTATATTATTCGAAAACAGTAAAAAAAAAGTTATTTTTTTTAAATTTTTTACCTAATCGTACAAATTCAAATCAAATATAAATATGTATTGTCTTTATCCCCTTAAAAAATGCAAAAAGAAAAAAATAATATGATTATCTTTATTACGTATTTCAGGAGATACCACTAAGAGAATATCTCGTGGGACACCTGTAGAACTCTATCAGATGTAAATTCAAAACTTTTCAAACCTGAACATTGTCATATAATCATTACTTTTATTTAATTATAATAAAGTAACCCTATGTAATATATATTTACCCTACGTCTATAGTAGTATCTAAAGCAAATTAGTCAATAATTTAGTACGTCTATCGTCTATTGCAGTCTTTCGGGAAATTGATTTGTACAGGATCATAGGCCGGTTCGATTCATATGTCACTGGTCGAAAAAAATGATATAATAGAATATTAAGTAAATGTAAATTACATTTCTTCGGTAGAAAATAAAATTTTTTTCTCTTGATCTTTTTTCCCTAGACTCAAATTGTTCACAACATATAAGAATTTATGCAGCGACGAAACCAACTTTGATTTTACAAATGAGAACCTACAGGTTATAATTCAAACTATCAATTAGATGATTTTTCTACAAATGTTGACGTAAATATAGCAACAATCAAAATTTAAACGAAAAGTTTCTGAGTTATTCTACTTTAAATATTAAAGATAATGGTCTTTTATAGGGATTGGATACAAACTGTTTTATAGGAGTCGTGTATAGGCAATTTCTTGTTTTGTGACGTACAATGAGATTACTATTCATTAATATTTAAAGTAGATTAACTCAGAAACTTTTGAATTAAATTTTAAATTTCAGAATTTTTAGAAAAATGATTTGATTGAAAATTTGAATTAAAATATGTAGGTTTTCATTTGAAAACCAAAATTAATACCGCCACAGAATATTCCTTATATGTTGTAAAACATTTAGATATGAAAATAACGTCTTTAACGTCGTTTTCCAAAATTCCGAGAATTTATGTATACTTAACCTATACAAATTGGGTCAATATGCTTAAAAAATCACCCTGGTACCAACAAATAGGTACTTGCAAATTATTATAATAAATTTAAGCAAAGCAAAATTAACTCAATAACATCTTTTCATAATTTTCAAAAAGACAAAAATTAAATATTCTCTAATTTCTACTCGACGACTATTGTTATAAATACTGTATTGTACAAGTATTTAAATATTCAATAAAATGTAATAAAAAGTTAAACATTATTTCGCATTATTTTTACATAATTTAATTTCAAAAAATTAAATAAAAAGTTACTTTAGATACCTAAGTACTTTATAAATAAAGTACTTAATGAATAAAATAAATAAGGTACTTATCATAAAAAAATAAATCAATTTATGTATGTAAAATATGATATAAATGTTAAAATGTGGATACAAATTTAATTAGTGTGTCTAACTAAAGAATTAATTTTAAAAATAATACAAAATGACGATCATTCTTAATAGTCACGATTAATATAATCACAGTAATTTATTACTGCAGACGTTTTTTTTAAAAAATATACATTTTTTTTTTTTATTTTCAAAACATATTATACGGTATTAGCAGTATTACACATATGTAATTTACACAAAATAGTTAATAATTAACCAAACAAACAAAACAAACAAAAATCGACGTTTCAGAATGTTGGCTCACGGGTACCTATTCAAACTATAATAGGACTTACCTGCAGCAATAACAATATACCTACACGCATGAGTCGTTATCCATCACGGCCCAAAATCAGCTTAATGTCACGAGTTTTTGTTTTCGTACAATATACAGCTACCTATATCTATGCCTTCAAAAGCTAATCGTACATGTAGGTACGTGTGGTTAAAAATAGAATGTTTATCCGCGTATATAAAAGTATTAGGATTCAAAAACGTGGTCACAAAACGCAACGTAAAACAAACCATTATATTATGGAAACTTGACGTTATGTATACATCAAACAATACGAAGAACTTTGCATAGGAATAGATTATTTTACACGATGGACTCTGTATACAACATAATAGAGATGATTATTGCCATTAGGTACTAGTAAGTCAATACAACAGTATACGGGAAAATTAAGACCAAAAAAAAAAAACCGGTACCGCCTCTATTGCTGCAGTCTGCCCACTTCCGGGTAACAATTCATGACGTGATAGAAATGAAAATATAAAAATATTTTAACTATATAGGTACGTTTATTATTATACACACCAGTAAACAATACGTCAATACCGTGTTGCATAGTACGAAAATTAAAATAATAACCGTTAAATTTCTGGCATTTCTTTTTATCGTTCGGACTGACCTACAGAGCCCTGCCTAACGATTTTCGCGTGATGCATACACAAGTGCAACTACAACGAAAGTTGGACAATTAATTTTGGGTATATGATTATGATTTATTATGTAATGCCCAATAAAACTCTGAAAATTTACTAAAAAAAAAAATGCTTTAATGCACAAAAATCTTTTTAAATATTAATGTACTGAAATCTTTTCAAATATTAAATAAATTCGGAAAAATAATATACTAGAGTATGTTTTTTAGAGTTTTCAATAACTGGATAAATTTGCATCTTCGATTACGATTTCTAATCCCAAAAAACCCCTAAAGGTATATAAAAACTAAAAATAATGACTTTTAAACATATTCAAAACATACAAAATTTCTTATTCTCTTACACAAATAGGTAAGTATACATGAAAGGGATTTCCAACAAAACGACTATCGCAGACCAACTTTGGATAATAACATTGAAATCTCAACTCTACTTATAAAAATTATTATGACATTTATAACTATACTAGACGCCCAATAATCACGGACGGTGTAACGTTTATGAAACATAATCCGTTCTGGATTCTAATTCGATCTCAATTCGTGATTCGCGATCGTAACGGACATAACAATCAGCTCTGGACCCAGAAAAGCGTGTCCCCCGACACGAAGCGCGTTCCGCGAAAATCCAAGTGCGCCCCCCGAAATGTATGTACCGAATTTAATATTGTA